ACCTTAAATTGCATTCCGTTTTTATTTCATTATTGTATTCTTCATATCTCTATTTAATTCTGGGTTCAAAACTCCCATAAAAATTGCCCAAATTGTATTTTAACTGTCACGATTTCTATGCCAATTTTTGTGATTATTTTTTTAAATTGAATTTTTATTATTTTCATCATTTTCTTCTATGTCCCTCCAAATAAAATCTCTGTATGTATATTTATGCATATCAAGTTTATGACCCATTATTATTGTCTGTTCGTCTGTCGGTCTGTCTATTGTAAGGGAAAATTGAATTTGTCTGCTGCCGCTGTTGCCCCGAGTCAATCACTGCCAACCAAGTCCATGATGGTGCCTAGTGTCGGGTGGTGGGTGGCCATGGCATCATATGCACGTGGTCATCACGGTGTGTTTCTTAAGACATACCTTTAAAGCGGCTTAAGTGCTAAAGTTTTTTTTTAAGAAAAAATGCGCGAAGAATGTTCCTCAGGACATGACTGCCAACAAAATGATAATTCTGAAAACAGCAAAATTGTAAATAAAATTTGACACTGACTAACTAATAAATCATAGGCAGACAGTCGCACACAAACACACGCACACTGAGACATACTCGACACTTGTTATGCTACAGTGACAATGACACGACGAATTATGAGAAGCTATTTTCAGTTTTTCGGCTTTGATGTGGAAGAAATTTTGCAAAATGAGCGACAGGGAAAATGTGTCAATGCCTTTTGCTCGCGCGAAGCTGGTTTTCAAGGACCTGCTGAGAAAATTGATGATGATGACGATGACAATGGCGTTCGTGACAAACTTGGCAAATTCATCTATTCATTCGTTTGATGATGAAGTTTTGTAATAAGCAATGGCTTTTAACTTCCTGACTTCGATGGCTGTAAGTGGCACTTCATAATTAAAACAGGTACCGCCACCGCCGCATTACTTTCACAAAGGGGGGGTGGGGGGTGTGAAAGGATATTACAGAACACTCATTATAGTTTTGGGTGCCAGGGTGAAAAGGATTGAGAGAGGAAGTAGAACTATTAAATATTTCATAAAGTCCGCAAAAAGGATGCCAGGGTATTGCTGCTCATTATGTTGTCAATTCATAGCCAAACATATTTTGATAAACAAGTCCTTTTCCCAGTACCAACAAAAATATAACCCCAGGTTAATGAATATTTTGTTGTAATCACAACAATATTTGTTGTTGTTGTTGTCCATTATAAAAGCAACAGACAGAATTTTAATAAACTATGCCAATGGCCCGAAGCCAACGCAGGAGAATAGTTGTTAACATACAACAGAATGTCACAGAGAAGAAATTGTGGGAAAGGAAGGATATCTGTGTCTGACAAATATTGCCTTGTAAATATTGTCCGATTTATTGACAGTTACCAATGTTTTGAATCTGAGACTTTCTCTCTTTCTGGCGAAAATGGATTTTAAAATGAGGTTGAATCCAAAAGAATATTGAATAAAGGTAACCACATTAAATCCCCCGTCCGAAAACGAAAAAGGACCCACACTGCATATATTATTGGCCACGAAGCAAGGTGAAAGGATAAATATTGATCCAATGTCTGGGTCTTTGTAGGACATTTAATAAAACGAATTTACATGATTGTTGACATCATGGCAAAAGAAAAAGGATTTGTCCTTACATAAATAAGGAGCAATCATGGCAAAAAAAAAGAGAAAAAAGGTCCTTTTTTGGCAAAACTGAGGAATTGCTTCATTATAATAATTTGTTCTTAACAAAATATTTCTTTTAAAACGCAATGCCACAATTGCATTATAGTTACTCCCCTCCTATGTCACATCCTTGCATTCGTGGCATCCAAAAAATACGTGACAGCTTCATTACACTTATTAAAAAGTTTCCGAAAATAGTTTCCGCTCCTGTTTGAGGAATAAACGAAATTTACTCTTGTAGGCGTTAATGCTGAACATCGGTTAAATATGGTCACAATACCCGAACAGACGTCACAATTAACATCATTTCATTTTCATAATGATCCCATCAACATATGGTACGAAGTTTATTTATATACTTGCCTTTGGGAAACGATGGTGGGATAGGGAATTCAAGTCAAAAATACAAATTCACAAAAGGTTGTTAATCAGTGAACCACAAAAGTGTCAAAGAGTCATGATTTGATCAACAAAATAATAATTTGACTCGAGATCAAAATATCTTTGACTTAAGAGTCAAGTGCCTTTGATTCGATTTTCAAAACACACATTGACAAAAGTCAAAACACTTTCACTCTAGAGTCAGAACACTTTAACTCCAAAGTGTAACTACTTGACTCAAAAGTCAGAATCCTTTGATTTCAGGATGCAAAGCTCATTGACATGAGAGCCAAAGGTCTGTGAATTGATGTTCAAACGACCTTAAGGTCAGGGACCTTTGATGCCAAATTTCGATACCTTTTGACTTAGTAGTCGAAAATTATATATCATGTATCAGAAGCCTATGAATTCTGATTGGAAGCCCTTTGACAATAGGATTTGATAATCGATGAGTAAAAGGCCTATTTATTAGGCAAAATTCATTCAATATTCAAAGGTTTTTGACTAAAAACTTACATATTGTTCAATTCAGATTCTATAGTCGTTGACATAGATACCAATACATTAACGTGGTGGTCAATAATATTTGAAGAATAACTGAGATTTTGACTTAGAGTCAACCTTTGAGTTTTTTTTTGGAGATAAATGAAAAGGAGTCAAGGATTTGTGATAAAGTCCCTGGTTTAGATTTAAGAGTCACTTGGGGTAAAAAGTCAAAATATTTGTCTTTTTCTTGGAAGTCAATAGACATTGATTTGGAAGTAAAAAGCCATTGACTTTCAAGTCAATAGTCATTGACATGGAAGTCAATTGTCATTGACTTGGGAGTCAATAGCCATTGACTTCGAAGTCAATAGTCATTGACTTTGAAGTCAATAGTCATTGATTTGGAAGTCAATAGTCATTGACTTGGAAGTCAACAGTCATTGACATGGAAGTCAATAGTCATTGACTTTGAAGTCAATAGTCATTGACTTGGAAGTCAATAGTCATTGACTTGGAAGTCAATAGTTATTGACTTTGAAGTCAATAGTCATTGACTTTGAAGTCAATAGTCATTGACTTGGAAGTCAATAGTCATTGACATGGAAGTCAATAGACATTGACCTGGTAGTCAATAGACATTGACCTGGTAGTCAATAGTCATTGACTTGGAAGTCAATAATCATTGACTTGGAAGTCAATAGTCATTGACATGGAAGTCAATAGTCATTGACGTGGAAGTCAATAGTCATTGATTTGGAAGTCAATAGTCATTGACTTGGAAGTCAATAGTCATTGATTTGGAAGTCAATAATCATTGACATGGAAGTCAATAGTCATTGAAATATCTTTGATATGGAAAACTCCGTAGCCACCACATTTTATGTTATATTCTGCCTTATGAGACCTAATTATACCACTCACCTAATTACCACACCTGCCCTCTTCAGCTGCCCCGTTCCACTCAGGGTTAGTTCTCTTCTCTGTCGAGTAAAAGTTTTGTGCTGTCGAGTCGACATTGTGAATGCCCCGAACATATGTGAGTGCCATTGACAGATAAAGGATTAAAAGCATAAACATGCTTATGGAACACCTACACGCTGACGCCTTGTACACAAAACTCAGACACACACACAAACACTCCAATAAAGGCTTGCAGTCACACACCCATACACCCTTGGATGCAGTTGCTGTTGCTGCTGACATTTATTCACGTTCATGGACAGGCAAGCGGCAAAAGTTTAAACTCAATACAAATGTGAGTGTTGTTGTTGTTGCTGGCTGTTGTTGGTGTTATGTTGTTGATAAAGTGGTTAATGGAAGAAGTGGAAGCATGACATAAGAAGAACCTCTTCAGGGTGCACTGAGAATAAAGGAAGAGAGAGAAATTTGTTATAAAAATGGCAAACTCAGGTATAAGGGCCAGCATATCTTTGGCTGCAGTGATATGGTGTGTGTGTGTGTGATTGTGTTATCTCTGTGTAGAAAAAGAGAACAGGCTAATCAATTTATGCATTGAAATTGAAAAAACATAATTGACCACAATTTTAATAGGGGCTGATGCATGTATGTTAGGATGGATGGATGGATCGGGAATCAGGTTGGGCCAACATGACTTTGACATTTATATTCACTCAATTGTTTTGTTGTTTCTCTTAGCCATTTTGCAAAGTTGTTTATTTTCGATGTTGTTTTGTAAGTGGAAAAAATTAACACAAAAACCCCCCTTGGCCATTGGATGTTGGAGAAAAGTGAAAACTTGATTTGTTGTTCGGTATTTTTTTCTTAGTTCTTATTGTTGTTGTTTTTTTTTTCTTACACACATATTAACAACCCAAGTAAATAAGCATTCATATTGAAGACCAAAGTTTTCGTTTGCGGTATTGAGGGCAAGTTCAGTGGGACAACAAGCAGAAGAGGGAACAAAGGAGGGGGAAAAAGAAGAGGAAGACGAAAATGAAAAACAAGTGAAAAGTTTTAAACTTATTTGTGTATTGCTAACAACAAATGAGATTTTAATGTTTTTTTTTTTTCACCAAACCGAGCGACCGACCACACAGCCATTCGTTGCAACTTTGTCTGGTGTTTCTGGTGGTTTTCTCTTTTTGGGGGCAAATGAGTAAAAAAAATGCTGTTTTGGAATTAAATTTTCTTTCCAGTGACCTTTTTTAATGAATATGTTTAAAATTAAATCACTCTTTTTTTAATTTTTAAAGCGAGCACATGTTTATTGAATTTTGTCTTAACTTATTTCAGGATAATCCATCAATGTTACTAAGAACAAAATAAAAACAAACAGTTTGTTTGATGTCCTGTTGCCTTTGTTGATTTATTAGCCTGCGTCATTATTTTTGGCCAATAAACTTGGCCACTGTTGGCCCTCTGCTGAGCTATTTTCTTCTGTTGGATTTTGTTTTTTTTTTTGCATTTATCAATTTAGAAAATAATTAAAATGAATTAACACCACCACCGAACAGAAGTTCATTACCCGGACTTGTGATCTCTGCATCTATTGCCCTGGCGGGACAAGTGATGTTATATTAATTTATTAAAGTCATTAAATTTAATTTTCTTTTAGATTTTGTTCTTATTTTTTTTTGGCCAACAAAAAGAGAGAAATGTTATTTTTATGGTTGCCTAGAGACTTTCTTCAAAATCTCCGTTTGAATCGGTGTATAATAACACAAAAAATCCTAAGCCGTTTGTCTTAGCTGACAATGAATTTTGTTCTTGTTGTTGTTTTTGGTATTTCATTGTGTCTGTGTAGGTGTTTTATTTTTGTTTTCTTTTTTTGTTAAGAGATTACACGATTATTATTATTATTACATTGACCATGACATTTTTATGATGTCTACCTTTAGGGGATATTGTGGTCGTAAGAGATAATGTTATTTTAATACCCTACAGAAACCCTTCTAGGCATAGAATCAAATACTTCAACTTTTTTAAAGAAAAATTATTCATTTGTCAAATATTCAACAGTACCATAATAGTTGATAACAAATATTTTTGTATATGTCCGTTCATAAGCTTGATTTAAAAAAAAAATATTTTTTCAAAGTTTCATCAGGTTCCGGGCCATTTGGGGATTGAACAACACAAGGTGAAGGGTATAAAAACATCGTCCAAGACGAGTTTAACGACATTTTCCATGTTTAAAAATATTGATTGAAGGACTGTCAGATCCTCGATTTAAAATGAAAAATAAAACATTTATTTATAGCGATTAATTGAAAATATTTTCGGAGTATCTCTAAAGCTGTAATGTTGGATATTTAAATATTTTCCTAGGTCTTTGCAGGTCTTCTATGAAGAGGAGACTTGAAGATATTTTATAGATAAAGATAAAAAACTTTCGTCATGACTTCTACAGAAAGTAGAGGTCCTCCATTGATTTCAAACATATATTCCACTAATTTTTAGAACTGAGATTCTGGAATTTTAAATGTTTTGGAATGTCTCCTATAGATATAGGAACTTTTGCAGGTTTTCTATTGATAGGAGAGGTCTGCAGGTCTTCTATGTTTCGAAGACTCCGTCTCCGTCTTTATAACTTCTCAGGAAAGTAGGCCGTGCTCAAAAGAAGGACTTCATAGACCTCCGTTAAAGAGAATCAAGGTTTTCACTTCAACCGAGACCCTTCTATGGAGAAAATACATTTATAAGCCTTACATGATCGTTATTTATTTTATATTTCCCTGAATAGAAGACCACCTACAGATTTTCTATGGTTAGAAGACATTTTGATTATGGATGGCCTATCCTTTATCTTTTTTTCTATATATTGAAGTCATGTAGGGTATGGAATAAAGCTGAAATAAATTGTTCGCCTTGTGCGTATAACTATTGGCGTTAATCATACGTCACCTGATATCATTGGTCTTAATACTTCGTCTATCGATACATGAACGTTTTTAAAAAAATACATGTAGAAGATTTTTTATAGAAGATCTTCTATGGAAAGAAAACAGATCTTTATTGATTTTCCTAACAGAAGACCTTCTATAGACCATACTTTTCTCCCTTTCTGACATCGGCACGCATTTCATGCGCTTTAACTTTTAGATTAGCTTTTCCAAATCCATACTACAAGTCTTCTGTGGAAAGACCTACATTCTATTACCTACCTACCTGCCTTCTATTAAGTTTCTACAAGTCTTCTATAGGCAGAATACTTTCATGGGTCGTAACCGGCCTTTATACTTCGTCTACATCTACAGATAGACCTTATATTGGTATTACACAAACATATACGATTTTTCGTTCTAGGAGATGATTTACTTTATTTAAAACATTCTGCACCACATATTGACCTCCTAAAAACGAAACACCCTCAGGTTTATTTAAAAGGTAGAATATATTTCTTTAAGTCGTACGAGGTCGGGAATAATGTTGAAATAATAATTTTCGACTTCTACGTATAACTACTGTCATTAATAATACGTCATATAGTATCATTGTCGACGTATAACTACTGTCATTAATCATACGTCATATAGTATCATTGTTGACGTATGACGTACTGGCGAATAATTTGTTCACCTTGTGAGTATAACTAATGGCGTTCATCATACGTCACCCAGAATCAGTGGCCTCAATACAACATCAACTATCGATATATGAACTTCTATATGTCTTCGATGGAAACAACATCTCCTATACGTCATTTATATATCTTTGGCAATGTATGTTCTCCTATATATAAGATCTATTATAGACGTCACATTTTTCATTCTCAAACTCAATAAAAAATCTTATTATCCCATCTATGCCTGCACGGGCAGCTTCTCAGTGGAATTACTTTTTCCTGGAAACATTTGTCTGGACTTGAACAATTTCATATTTCGTGGAAAAGCTGTATTAAAGTTCAGCCTCCTCACATATGGAAAATAATATAAAAGAAAAAATAGAACTTTTCCTAGAAAGCTATGTGGCCAAGGAGGGTATTCATCGACAAAAAAATGTTCGAGGGACTTAATTTCCAAAAATAAAATACTAACTTCGTTTGAAGTACCCAATTTAAAAATGAATATAAGACAGCTGTTTCTTCTTAGTAGCTAATAAACAATGGCAGGTAATGATTATGAAATAGGCATATTCTTCTTTCAGTTTAAACATTTTTATTTAATTCATGTCCTTGTTTTTTATGTCCTTTGGTGGCCATAACCCACCCCTCGTAGCCAATGTAATTCAATATCTTCTGTGACAATTTATAAATTTATGGCCTAAAGGCAACACTTTTTACAACATAAATTTCAATGACAACGCTCGTAATGGCGGTGCTGTAATAAAACATAACCTCTTTCTTTGGTGGTAATGAAAACGGATACTTATTGCTTGGCTAATGATCCTCTCGGCCACTTAAGTTTCGCCACTGATGAACTAAATTCTAAGACCAATGGCCAACAGAGAAAAAGTGTTGCTGCTCATCATCATCATCATCAGTTTTAGTTATTTAAAATATGGGGGAGTGTAATTTTAGATGAAAGACCATTCATTTAGTTTAGGGAGAAAAGGCGGGGAGGGAAGAAATATTGTAATTTTTCCAATTTTGTTCTTCCAAAACCCCTAATTGGCCCAAAATGTCTTAAGAGCCCGCTCCTTGAGGAAAGAAAGAAATAACCATTGGTCTAACTGAAACTTGTAATTGGTGGTAAGACGAGTAACCACTTTCCGTAACCTTCCTCGCCCACCCCTTATTTTCACTTTCTTATCAGTGGCAATTTGTGTTGTTGTCTTTCATTTCCCTTTAACATTTTTGTTCCGATGCCAATTACACCTTGAAGTTTTGGGTTTTTCTCTCGGTGTTTTGTGAATTTTAATGAATGCCACAACAATTTGGTTTGCAGTTGGTTCTGTTGTTATTTTTTGGGGGGGTGGAACAAATAACTTTATTTTTTGCTGCTAGTAACAAAAATTCCTTGAGCTGAGAATGAGCATTTAAATGGCTTTTTAACATGAACTCACGAACTTTTTTCAGAAAAAAATAATCCAAATAAAAATGGAAAACAAATTCCTCGCTATTCAAATCGATTCCAGTAATCGTGTGCAATTGGATAAGGGGAGGACAGTGTGGCTCTCGTGTATCTCGTCTATTGATATGGCGAATGATAGGTTTGCCAAAAATGAGTTTAAAATTGTTTTACACAACTATCCTGAATTTGTTTATAATGGAAAATCAATGAAAATATTTTAAAATAATTAAATTTCAGGTGGGATGAATGAGGAGGAAAATAAAAACGTTTGGTTAGAAAATGGAATTTTAAATAATTTGGCAGCTATAAGACAATCCAAAGATCTTTTAAAGGAAGAAGTTTTTTTTAAATGTAAATATTTTTTTAGAGAAGAGTACTTCACCAATGATACTAGGTGACGTATGATTAACGTCAGTAGTTATATGCACAAGGCGAACGACTTATTTCAGCTTTATTCCAGACCCTATACGACTTCAATATATAGAAAATGCGATAAAGTATAGGCCTTATAAAAGAAAAATGTCATAGAAGATTCATTTAGAGTAGACTCACAGAAGACTTGCCGGGGGGGAAATTACCAAAGAAATACATCCTACCTATCAAAAAATCCTGATAGAGGGTGTTTCGTCTATAGGAAGCCCATATGAAATGACCATCTGCCGTAGATCGGTATAAAGATGTTCTTAATATAGGTAATCTTTTTCAAGATCGACTCGAGAACCTCTTTCAGTGGAGTCGAACTTTTTATACCCTAAGCCACAAGCGACCAAGTCTATTGGGATCTGCAATAAATCAGAAAAAAATTGTTTGCATATGCGTATGACGGTAATCATACGCCACCTAGGTTGCTTGGCCATGAACTTATCACGACACTTTTCTCGGGTATCATTGAGGTTTTGTTTACTTTGAGGTTTTTCTATGTGTCTTCTCTAAACAAATCTCCCTCGACATTCTATTTTCCATATATTAAAGACCTCGTTCTATCGATTGTATGTAAATATCCGTCTTTTATATACAAAATACCTCTTTTCTCTATATCCTATCGGTTCTATGGACAAAACACCCTCTATCAGGCTGGAATAAAGCAGAAATAAATTTATCGCCTAATGCGTATAACTAATGACGCTAATCATACGTCACATATGTTGCTTGTATCATGTCATTTTTCTTTGAGGTTTTTTAATGAGACTTCTCTCAAAAATCTCCTTCGACGTTCTATTTTCGATATATTAAAGACCTCGTTCTATCGATTGTAGGTAAATATCAATCTTATAACAATCTTTAGATATATAAAAATCGAACAACATTTTGTAATGATCCAGCTTATAGTCTTCCACAAACAGAAGACCTTCTATATGTCTACGTATTTTATAGAAGGCCTTCTTTCGATCTTTTATCGATTATTGGTCTGGATTTTTTTTTGTACATTTTCAATTAATCTTCTATTTTTTAATATAGAAAATACTTTTTTATACAAACTTATGTTAAACACAACTTTTTATAGAAAAAAATTACTTTAAACAGGAAAAAATTCAATCTCTG